ATGATCATCAATTGTTTCCAGGAAACGGGATGAGCCACTGTCCCGTATGCGAGGAGAACTGTAGTGTCAATTTAGACAACCAAACACGGATTTTGAATGGGAAGTTCCGACACGAAACTTCTCTTGATGGTTCAAGGCGGTGTCACTTCAGTTGTTAATAGCTTGTCTGTGGATCACGGGAATAAGGTGAAACCAAACGAACACGCCAGTCCAAATAATTTCTTCGTGAAGGATTGGAGGATTCTCCGCCATTAAGGTAAATGCGCCTCCTTCAATTCACGTCCTCTTTTTCGCCTGTATCTTCATCTATTGCCCTTCGATTGGGTCAGAATTCCTTCCACGTATGTATAGCTCATGATTGCCGGTGCACAACGCCAAAATGCGCTTACTGATCTTGGATCCTCCACCAAAAAGTAGAATTCCTTTGCAGTCTCGTCTGCTGGTTGGATTATAAACTTCTTGTCGTGAAAAGTGGGGCTTTGAATTTCCGGCCAAGTGAACCCGGTATTGGGGTCAAACCGATCATCAGTCTCATAGATACCCAAACCCAGAGCATCAACACCATGAATCAGTGACATGTATCCCCTGGTCCTGTGCGATTTGTAGGTACTGAGCCATTGCATCATCCGATCGAACCATTGCTCGTCGACTTCTAACTTCATTTCAAAAATTTAAACCTAGTTCCAGTGCCATATTGTGAGCAGAACGATGAAGAGCATTCAGAAGTGTTTTTTATACTCTTCAGTTAACCGCATCGAAGCGCAATTATGCATTTGTATTTTGTTGTTTTTGCTAGTTTCGACGGTTTTAATGGAACGTATAACCCTGTAATTCGTCGTTTATGTGTTGCCCCGATATTTTGCAGTTACTTATGCATTTGACTTGCCCTTGTTGTAGCGTCCCAAGAAAACCCACCGGGTGGAAGAAGGCAGTAGGTGAAGCTGGATCCACGTATTCCAAATAGGACATAGCAACGGGGTTTGAGCATGGCTCGAAGGCCAGCCCACGAATACAAGGTCCAGAAAAATCCTGAAGGGACTGCCGAACGTCATTTGTTTGCATAAACAAAGTATTGCACGTTTACGCGTGAGATTACCTTCCATTTCCTTCTTTTCCCCTTAAAATACACGTTTTCAGTCCAAATAACTGTCTTATTCAGTCTTAATCTCTTGCTTCCGTTGCTCGTCTTACTTTGATTATGAACCCTCATTGGATTTACTCATGTAGAATCACTACATACAGCACGTCACGCGAATGATACCAGCACTGCGTTGAAATTTAGTTTTTCGCCTATTGCCCACCAGGAAAATCGTAGTCTGAAATTGTTGCTGTTTTAATGCATCATATATTGGCCAAGGAATCAAATAATCAATGAGCTAGATTACTCTTAGAACTCTTGTAGAGACTAGATTTGAGTAAAAAAATACAGAACAATACCATGAAATGCAAAAATCCATCATTTCCTCGGATGAAGCTCTCTGTGCAAGTTCATGAGGCTGT